GGGGGGTGAGGTCAAAGGAAAGAGATTTTTACAAGAGTTTAGAAGAGAGAAAGTCTGGAACTGGCACTGAAGTAGAAAAAAAAGTAATCTCCATTTGAAAATGGAGGGCACCAGGACCCTTTGTGAACAACCAGGTTTCAGCTAAGGAGAGACTAAGCATACAATGAATAAATTAAAGGTGTTTACCATGAAATGAGAATTTCAGAGACTAATAGCAAAGCCTGGGCAGAAGCAGCGGAGTGGGAGACTGGTGAAGGCAGCAAAGAGGAAGCGCAGACCAGCCTGCAAGCATGTAAGAAGAGTGGCTGCTGAGGATGGCTGGAGGTAAGCCAGAGAGATGCGCAGAGCCTGAATCATATACAGCTTTGTGGGACTTCTTAAAGGATTTCTACCTGACCCTGAGAACAGCGGATTGCCACTGAAAAGTCTTGAGCAAGAAAGTGACACATCAAATTAGAAAAAATAGTCTGGCAGCAGGGTGGTAAATGGATTGAGGAAGGGGGCAAAAGAGGAAACAATTCGGAGGTTCTGCAGTGTCAGCAGGGGATCCTCGGGTGGAGCAGAGGTAGTGGAAATGGAGGGAAGAATATAAACATAATAATAGGTATTTTGATGATACTTGGTGATAAAATTGATAGGACTTAGTGACTAATTGGATCTAAGAGGGCTGGAAAGAAAAGGATTCATGTTTTGCCTAGATTCCTGGTTTGAGCAACTAGGTGAACAATGGTGCCATTCACCGAGACACGTGGGACATAGGAGGACTAAGCTTGGAGGGGACAGAGTCCAGTTGAGGACATAGTGAGTTCAGATTTTAGAACTGTCGTCATTTAAAAAGCACATGGAGCTATGGTTGCAGTTTCCGTTGTGCAGCAAGCAGGTGTAGAATGAGGAGAGAAGGGGCCCTGGGGTGGAGCATCTCATTCTGAGCATCACACGGAAGAGGAGTCCTTGGAGAGGCTGGGGAAGGAGAGGTCAGGCAGGCCCCCTACCCGGGGGTGGCCCTATCAGTGCTGTACGTGCTTCCAAAATACTGTACAAGGAGAACGGCATTAACAGCTACAGACATTTACTGCAGGCTTCCTGTGCCTCGAGTGGTGCCCTGAGCCTTCTGCGTGTGTTCGTGCTTTGACCCACACAACAGTCCTGTGAGGAAGGACTTCTTTCCTGTCTCCTTTTATAGATGAGTAACTAGGCACAGAAGGTTAACTAAACTGCCCAAGGTTATCTACGGGTAGTAAATAAGTAATTCATAAATATCTCTTAGCTTTACCGTCATCCCTCTTCAAGCCAAACCTCACTTTAGTGAATGTCATTTGAATGTATTTAAATATGCTCCTACAAATAGGTAGAGGGCCTCCCCTGATCCTTTTGATATAAGGACCGGGTCTATGACAAGTATAGAAAAAAATGTTCTCCTGAAGTTGCTGATGAATTAACAGATAATATTCTTTCCTTTTGTCTGAAGAAGGAATTGAAGGATTAAGTTCAAGTGTAATTTCTAGATCACTGGTTCATAATCCTTTTGTTGAATTACAGACAAGTTTTTACAGCTAGCTAAAAAGATCTATGGCAAAAAAGAAAGGGGCCTTACGATTAGCATGTATACTGTGGGGGGGGCATGGGGAGGGCTGTGCAACACAGAGAAAACAAGTAGTGATTCTACAGCATCTCACTACGCGGATGGACAGTGACTGTAATGGGGTGTGTGGGGGGGACTAGGTGATGGGGGGAGCCTAGTAAACATAATGTTCCTCATGTAATTGTAGATTAATGATACCAAAATAAAAATAATATAAGAAAGATCTATGGCATTCTCAAATCATAACTTTTTTAAAAAAAGTTTTGTATGTCAACATTAATTTTAAAATGAGAAAAATGCATAACATCCCATAAAGAAAACAAAATGTGATGAAAAGGTGTAATAACGTTGGCATCCCTACTCCATAAAATCAATAATAATCAAATTGATTAGTATTAAGTATCAGTTTCTGCCCATACCTCAGTGGGTCAATATTTAGTGGACTACATAGACTGTATGTACATGTATAACGGTAATTATATTCTACAAGTATTAGTTCCTTCTACTAAACTATCTGATTATCTTTACACCCCTTACCTGATTCCTTCTAATATGCACCAGAACTTCCCAAAACTTGGGTTAAAAATATCCCTAATTTTTTTAAATAGGAATTTACTGGATGGCAGTCTATGGAGAGTATATAATGGAGTGTATTTTGGAGTCAGCAGACTTAAATTCAAATTTTTCCTGGTTTTATGACCTGGGGAAGTCACTTAATCTCCTTTATACTCACTTTCATTGCTTTAACACAAGGCAGTAATACCTTGTGTTAAAGAAATAATAAAGTAATATTTTCAGCATTTATAGTATCTGGTACATAGCCCTAAAACATTATTAATAACATGGGTTTTAAGCCTGGTTTGCATTCCCAGCTCTTGGTAGTTAGCTGTGTGACCTTGGGCCAGTTAATCTCAGTTTCCTGACTATGTCTGGCACATTGTAACTTTATAATTAGTCGTATTGGTAATATTGTAATGGTTATATGTTTTATAAGATTTAATGTTAACTGGACCTTGGCCTCTTCTTAGTGAATTTATAAATTAAAATAATACCTGTTAAATCATAATTAATAAAGATTCTAGGAAATTGTTGTTAATATGGCACTTCAGAGTAGATTTTAGGTATAATATTTAAATCCCAAAAACTGATATTTAGATAGAAACAGTGGCATTGATGTATCATTTCATGACAAATACTTTTCTGAAAGCATTTTGGGATTTTAAGAAAGAAACTGTAGTTACCAGTTGTGAAAACCTGGGTGATATCTGTGGATATAAACTCAGTTGTTTTATGATTGATTCTTTTTTTTCCCTGAAGGAAAGAAGGGTTGGGAGAGTTCTGCAATTTTGGCCAAGTGGCAAAATAATAGAAGTAGGTTAATTCAACCTTTGTGCCAAGCACTAATATAAGCATGATTTTAGAAATGCTGTTAAAAATTAATTTCAAGGCAAATTTATAAAATTAAAACTGCAGAAAGTTTAAGTTATTTTAAGAGAAAGATGTTTGTTTTGGTTTTTTATTGAAGTATCATTGATATACAATCTTATATTGGTTTCAGGTATACAGCACAGTGGTACAACAGTTACTCATATTATTAGATCCTCACCCCAACTAGTGCAATAACTATCTGTCAACATAGAAGAATGTTACCAAATCATTAACTATATTCTCCATGCTGCACTACCATCCCCGTGACCAGCTTACATTATGATTGAGAATTTCTTTGCCCCTCACCCTTCCCCATAATAACTACCAGTCACTTCTCAGTGTCTATGAGTCTACTGCTATTTTATTCATTTTATTTTGTTTTGTTTTATATTCCACAAACAAGTGAAATCATTTGGTATTTGTCTTTCTGCACCTGACTACTTCACTTAGCATAATATCCTCTAGGTCCATGCATGTTGTTGCAAATGGATAGATTTCTTTTCTTTTTGTGGCTGAGAAATATTCCGTTGTGTATATGTACCACCTTTATACATTCACCTATTGATGGACATTTTGGTTGCTTCCATATCTTGGCTATTGTAAATAATGCGACAGTAAACAGGTATGCATGTATCTTTTTGAATCAGGGATTTTGTTTTCTTTGGTAAATTCCTAGGAAAATATTTGAAAGATGAGCAATGATTGAATCTGTAGTACTTAAAAGAAATACACATTTCCAATGCCCTTAGAAGCATACTTACTTCTGGGGAAAAGTGCTTGCATAGCCTCATCTCACATTACCTCAGATTGCCTGTAGTGTGGCCCATAAGTGCCACCTGGTACTGCAGTGTGGCCAGAGTCCCACCCGTACTCCCAGTTATTAAATGCTTCCCACCCATCAGCTCTTGTACTCCATGACTGCAGTCTCTGCAAGCACTAAACAGAGGTCTTGTTCCTTCTCATTTTTTCCATTTTGCTATACTGTATTGCCTTTCACATTCTCTAATTAAACTATAAAATCTCTAAGAGGAAAATTTCGTGTGGTTATTTTTGTATCCCCACTTGCCTAGCATGTTACCTAAAGTGTTCTCTAGCAGATAATAGATGCTCATCTAAAATTAAATATATTACATGCTAATTACAAATTATTCTGATCTGTCATTGAGTCCTTTGAGTATTTTTGGTATGTAATTTTAGGTATCCTTCCTATGTATTTAAAGTATGAAGACTACATGTTTTTAAAAATATTTTCCAATCAAAACTCTTCAGTAATTTATATTAATCTTCCCAGTTAGGATTAATTGGTATTTTATCAACAAGATTAAATCCATTTAGGAGTAATACTTCCATAAAGTTTACAAAACTACATCAACTGTTTATTGACATCTGAGTAAAAACATAAAATTTATCATCATGTAATTTTTTTCATTGAAACACTTCCTCCTTTTATTGTAAACTATTTCTAAAACATTACATGAAATTTCTGCCTCCTAGTGACCAACATTTTATCAGCTTAATACTTAATGACTTGCTACTATTGTATAGAATTTTTTCCTTCTGAACTAGATATTATTTAAGTTGAAGTTATTCAGTGTACTACCAGATTTAATATGGTATAGTCACTTAATTGAAGTAAATAAGCCATGACTATGGCAGCTTAAACACAAAGCATGGTTTTTAAACTTGCTCTGCTCTATTACAGATTATGAGAATGTATATCTATAATACCATGTCTTCTACATTCAGAATCATGAAGATAATTATTAAAATTGATAAAATTTGTAATGAAATATATCCTGTGCAGAGGAGAACTTAATAAATTTTTAAGGGCTTTTCTTTTTCTTTACATAAAGGACAAAACTCACCTCCAGATCTGCCTGACACCCTGCAGCTGCATGTGTCATTCCCACCTGCACTTCCCTCATAGAAGCACTATTCCTTTAACAGAGTTGCCCTGCCTCTGTGTTGGTACCAGGCCTCATCTGTTGCCTTCGCAAAACTTCTCCGCTTTGGTGTCATGACCTCCCTCTCCCGTATCAGCAGTCTCTCTCCACTGTGTCATTTCTGTCACGTGTAAACTTACAAGCATATCCCATTTTTAAGGAAAAATGTGGCATGAGAGACATCCACAAAGTGTACTGCAAGGACCTTCTTTGAATTCAGATTGAGCACACCTAAAGATATTTTTTTTCTGAAGCAGGGACTTGTAACACTGACTTGAACTTGATGATATTAAGGAATTAGTGATAATTTTTTAGGTATGGTAAATATATTTGAAGGGAGAGAACAGTCTTTTTAGAGATACAGCCTGAATTTTTTACTAGGAAGTGATACAATAGGATATTTATTTCAAAGTAATCCAGCATAAAGTAGAGGGGAGTAAAGAAAGGTATAGATGAAACAAGACCTGCCAAGAATTGGTAATTACTGAAGCTGATATATATAAGGCAATTACTCTTCATAGTATTCTCTCTACTTTTATATATAATTGAAATTTTCCATGATAAGGTTTTTTAATTTGTATTTTGCTTTTACCATGTTTATGATCCAGAAGGGAATTTTTTTTAGCTTATCAAGAAGCTATATAAGATGTTATAGGTGATATGTAAGATGTTATATATTATGATTCTTTCCATTTCAAGCTCAAAAAACCTGACACTATCTACTTGAGCAAGAAAAGAAATTTATTTAGTGACCAGACATAGAACTAGCTTCAAGCCCAGCTTAAACCAGAGCTCAAACATCACCACTATCCATCTTCAAGCCTGTCAACTAAATATTGACTCCACTCTCAGTCTCTCATACTGCCTATCCAGCAGCCCTGGGCACTCTTTCCATTCTCCCTTCAGCAAAGCTGGGGTTGGAGGGGAAGGCAGGGGAAAAAATGAAGTTGAATGATCCAGCATCTCAGCAGAAATTATACTCTGAGTGGCCCAGCTAGATCATGGCGCATCCCTGAACCAGTCCCTGCAACCAGATTAATGCAACTGGCTCATTAACTTGGGACAGCTAGTAGGCAAGTGTGCTCATCCCTGCCCCAGTTCTAGGGGAATACACTGACTCTCCCTCCATCTACCTCCAAAGGTGAGAGTGGGCATCCTACCCAAACTGCATGTTTGAGAATGAGGAAGGAATGATTTCCCAAAGGAAAATCAAGTTACTGCTACAAACATTTAGTTATTTCATTTTAAATAATATAGTTTCACCTTTGGTATATCCCAATCTTTGTTATTCTATTGAATTATAAATTCGCTTCACATGAGATATTGTATTACTGAAGTGCCATGCAAATAAAACCTGTAGTGAATACCTGTTATTTGCTAGCCAGCATCCTTTCCCCCTCATTAGTAATAGTAACCTGATGAAATACAGTATCTTTTTTCAGGTACTAGTACTGTACATAACTCTATTTTAAAAGTTTCTACTATGCCAAAGAGAGATAATTTAAAGTAAAAATGTGTTTTTAACTAGGTGAAATTTCCATACAAGTATATATATATGATTACATATAAACCATCTAAAACTTAATTTCTGATGCTTTTATTTTATCTCTTTCAGGGCTAATTTCATATATGGAGTATCTTTTCTTGCTTACAATCCTTACTAGTAAGTATCCCACAATTTTTCTCAACAATCCTATGGAATTGTCTATTTTTACCACACAGGGTTTTAAAGGTTTGGTATTTATGTCTTTATCAGTAAAAATATTATTAGAACCTTAGTTTCTCTATCTATAAAATGATATCTTGAATTAGATTATCCCTTTAGGTCCCGTCTGCCTCCTTTGCACTGTAACTTTGGCATATATGTTACACTGACTCCCCATAACTTTGTCTCCTTAATAGAAAGCTTATTGAACAGAAGAATCAGACTTGACCTTCATTTAGGAATACTGAAAAAAACCTCATCTGACATTCCACAAATTCCTGACCATTCTTCAAACTGTCAATGTCATGAAATTGAAGGAAAGGTTGAGAAACTTTCACAGCTTAGAGGAGACTAAGGAGACATAACAACGAAATGCAACATGGTTTCTTGTATTTGATCTTAGAATAGGAAAACAGCATTAGTAGAAAAACCTGAAATCCAAATAAAGTCTGTAGTTTAGTTTAAAATGCTCTACCAATGTTAATGTCTTAGTTTTGATAAAGGCACTATGGTCATCTAAGATGTCAACACTAGAGGAAGTTGGGTGAAGGGTATCAGAGAAGTCACTCTACTATCTTTACATTTCTGTAAGTCCAAAATTATTTCTAAACAGAACTTTTCCAAAAACTCTACTCTGAAAAAGGGAAATGAAGAGTAATAATCCACATGGAAATTGCCAAAGTACTGTAAGAATATAGGAAAGCCCCTGGCAGAGCTAAAGAAGTTAAGTTCTCAGATTAATTTTGCTTTGAAGGATTGAACCCTCAATATCAGAACAGCACCATGAAAACACAAGCAGCCTTTGGAAATAGTTCTCATGTAAAGAGATTGTTTTTTTCTCTGCTTAGGCATAACCCTGGTACAGCTTCTGATTTCAAATTTGAAAATGTATAGATCTGCAAATAACTTGCAGTGCACCAGCATTTATGTAATTATTCATTTTTCACTTAATTTCAGAACCCCATACTGGTTTTCATGTTGCTTTTAAAATGCTGGATACAGATGGTGATGAGATGGTTGAGAAAAAGGAGTTTTTTAAGGTAAGTAGACTCTAATTATTTTTGGTTCATCATAAAACACTTGGATGCTTGTGTAATAATTTTATATTTCCATAAAAATAAAAATTATACCCACTGCTTACATATGAAATGTCAAGAAACCATTTATACATTCAGAATATTAAATGTTACATAATACAACCTTGAAGAAACCAAAAGGAGAAATGACTTTAAGAATATACATTTTTGGGGTTTTATTATTATGATTTCAGCAAATGATAATAGAAAGGTTTTCATAGATATGTTAAAAATTATTCTTATATTCCACCCCCCAAGAAAAAGGAATAAGAAAAATAAAAATCCTTCCTAAAGAATAGGAGGAAAATGAAAAGGCCATAGTAAGTATAAATAGGTGCAGATTTTCCAAGAATTTCCTAAGGCTAATTTTGAAAAGCTGAAAATATATTCAAATAATATTTCCCAAGACAACTCCAGGAATCCAACCAGTAATTTCACTCTGTTCCAAGAAAGTTAATGATAACATTAAAAAATACCTAAGCGCTCATACCTGTTGGATATGTGCCAGAGTTAAATGTTTTTAATCTACTGGAGTACTTAATAAAGAAAAAATACATAGATAAATATATAGCACAGTGCTTAGCATGTCCTAACTACCTAGAAAAACTATTCATTGATGAATTAATGAGTACATAAATAAATAACTAATTTATGACTTTTTAAAATTATGACCTCTTTTAAAGAAAAGACATGAAGCAAATTGAACTCTCTTACCTTGCTGTTGAGAATATAAAATGGTACATGAAGTTTGGAAAATGAAATTGGCAACTTTTAAGTATATACTTAGCATATGACCTGACAGGTCCACTTCTACATATTTAGTCAAAGAAAAGAAAACATATTCACACAGATTACATGGATGATTATTATGGGTATATGATCATTCCTTGCAATTTTATTCATAATAGCTCCAAACCAGAGTTACACATCATATCCATAAAATAAAATTCTACTCACAATAAAAAGGAACAAAGTACAGATAAATGCCACAGGGTGAATGAATCTTAATGAAACAGAGTGCATACTGTATGATTCCATTTATATGAAATAAGAAAAGGAACATATCGACACTAAAAGAAAGCAAATCATTGGTTTCCTGGGGCCAGGAGGGAGTGAGAAATTGGCTGCAAAGACAAATGAGGGAATGTTCTGGAGTGCTGGAATATTTTAGATCTTGATTGGGGTGGTAGTGACTGGTATATAAATTTGCCAAAATCATCAAATTATACATTTAAACAAGTGCATTTTATTATATATAAACTGTATCTTAGTCCCTTTGACAATGTTCTATAACACAGGCTTTACAAATTTAATTACTAAAATAGTTGGCTTTATATACATCAAACTATTCAAGGACCACAAACAAAGAACATAGCAAAATAGGTTCTAATTAGAGAATAAATTTATAAAACAGCGGGATCCTACAAAAATAAGGTTTGTAAGTATTTAACATCTTTAGAAATTACCTGGAAGAGGGTGTATAGAATACATAAATGTAAGCATATAGGGGAAACAAAGGTAGTGACACAGACATCTATGTGAGTGGACAGTAAAGTAACAAATGAAAATCTCAGTGTTTGAGCTTAACATGTAGTAGAAACCATCTTACCTGATGTGGCCAGATCAATAGTTGTTCAGTTTATTTTAAAAGTCTGTTAAAATAGGGAATCAATTTTTAAAATAAATATAACAAACATTTTAATTAAATAAATTTTAGAACCAAGTCCTTTTCTTTGGAGTGGAGCTCCTGATTGAAATTACTTATTTTTCTGTGTAAGTATACACATAATTTGTCATCTACAGTTTCCAGGTACATTTTCTCTAAAATGCAGCAACAATGTAAAGATACTTGGAAGCAATCAGTATGGAATCCTTCAAGATTTTTAATTTTTCCACCCCTTACAGTCTTACCCTAAGTAATTAGAAGCAAATTTTTAGCAGTGTGCCTTTATCACACAACTCTTAAGTATTCCTCTCACTTTTTTACTGAGACAACTCTTTTTCAGACTCATTTTTCACTGATGTATTTGCATTGTTGCAGTGGGCTACAAATAGGCAGGAAGAGACTGAAAACACACAGAAAGTTATCCTGTATTTAACCCAGCCTCATAATTTAATGCAGCAAGGTGGCCACCAGAGCAGGAACAGGTACAGGACATCTCATCACAACTTACTGACATTCCAGAGTTTCCAGTGGGGACCAGCAGCTGCAGGTGATACTATGGTCACATATTTAGGGTCTTGCCAGATCTGAGAGGAATTTTATGCTTTTATATTTGGAGTTTGTATCATCACTCAGGAAACAATTTACACAAACAATCTCTATGCTTATTTAATTCTTTCATTTCAGACTTTTCTGGTTTTTTAACCAAATTCATTTGTCTTTGAAGCTATATCCACACCTAGGCCAAAAAAAGAAGACCAATGTCCCAGTGTCCTCAAGTAATCAACTTCTATCTCCAGCTTTCTGGTGTTTTCACAACCCCATTACTTCACAGTAAGATTGAATAAGATTAAGTAATTACAACTACAATAAGCATAATTGGTTTAGAAACACAAAAGACATAGCAAAATTGAGTTAAACTGCCAAGCATACATGAGCCTGCTTTAGACAGGCTAATTATTATAGGTATATGATCAGCTTTATGTGAGCATCTATCATGAAATTCTACAGAGGGAATAGGGACCATTGATTAACCTGAATTAGTTATGGAGAGGCCAGGGAAGATTGTTTGCTACATTTCATTTGAGGAAAAAGAATCCAGCATAGAATTTGAGGAAATAAATTCTGAAATATTTAGGAGAGAATAGATTCAGGCATATTTGTAGATTACCCTCAAAATTTTAGCCCAGTATGTTGCTGTGAAATTCTACAAAGGTGTCCAAAAAAAACTTAGAGGACATACCCTCACGCCAAAACAGAGATTTGCATTTTTGTATGTTAGATGTGCTTCATGAAGCACATAGAAAAGGTTCAAAAAGGTGAACAGTTGGAATACGGGGGTGGGTAAGAGGCTTCTGCATGAGGACCTGTCTTGAAAATAGGACTTATGGAAAGACAAATACTGTATGACCTCACTTATATGTGCAATTAAAAAGAAAGTAAACCAAACTCAAAGAAAAAGATCAAATTTATGGTTATCAGAGGCAGGAAATGGAAGAGGGGGCTAAAGGGCACAAACTTCCAGTTATGAGATAAGTAAGTACTGGGGTGTAACTGCATGGTGACTATAGCTAACACTGCGGTGTGGCATATAGGACAGTTGTTTCCAAAGTAAATCCTAAGAGTTCTCATCACAGGGGAAAATTTTTTTCACTGCTGTGAAGAGAAATCAGGAGGAAGTTAGTTGTAATGGTGATAATCGCACTTCAGTGTCCCAAAGTTCATCTCGACACAGTATGAAAGGTGAATTAAAAGAGAAGAGATTGGAGGCAAGGAGACTCCTTAGGCTATTGCAGGAGTCCAGTTTACAACTATGAATAAAGAATAGAAAGTATACTACGGAATAGACTGTGTGGAACCTGGTTTCCAGTTGGATTAGAGAAATGAGGGAAAGGGAGAAATCAGTGGTCACTCCATTCTCCAGCCAGCCTGACTGGGAAGAATGATAGTACTGACTGACTGAAAAGAAAAGAAGACTAGTTCTTACTGAGGACTGTATGTGGTATGTCCCACATAGATGTTAGATTATTGAATCCTTACCACAACCTACAAAATAAGTAGTAGTGTCCCTACTTAAAGATGAGAAGAGTGATATGCAGTCAGTATTGCAGCAGTGACTTGATTCCAACTTCATCCAATTCTAGATCCCTGCTCTTCAATCCATATCAGCTTGCCCCATTTGAAGGAGGATTCAAGGGAAAGCAAAGTTGAAAAAAATCTCAGTTCTGAGTTTGGAAATGTTGAACCTGATGAACTGCAGGACATCCCTGTAGAGGTAGATAAGTGTAGCAAGCAACTGACTGGAGACCAAAGTGTATTTAAACAGGATTAGAAAGCATGCTGACAGAGGTGACCGTTAAGTCATGAGAATATATGACCTAAAAGAGACAGAATGTCAGCTGAAGGAGAATAAGACTACAGTCTTGGAAAATAGTTTCATTAAAGAGGTCAAGCTGACCCTGAATAGCCAAAGCAATCATGAGAAGGAAGAATAAAGCGGGGGGAATTACGCTTCCTGACTTCAAGCTCTACTACAAAGCCACAATAATCAAGACAATTTTGTACTGGCACAAGAACAGACCCGTAGACCGACGGAACAGACTAGAGAGCCCAGATATAAACCCAAGCATATATGGTCAATTAATATATGATAAAGGAGCCATGGATATACAATGGGGAAATGACAGCCTCTTCAACAACTCATCTTGGCCAAACTGGACAGCTACATGCAAGAGAATGAAACTGGATTATTGTCTAACCCCATACACAAAAGTAAACTCAAAATGGATCAAAGACCTGAGTGTAAGTCATGAAACCATAAAACTCTTACAAGAAAACATAGGCAAAAATCTCTTGGATATAAACATGAGCAACTTTTTCCTGAATGCATATCCTCGGGCAGAGAAAACAAAATAAAAAAAGGAACAAATGGGACTACATCATGCTAAAAAGCTGTACAGCAAAGGACACCATCAGCAGAACAAAAAGGCATCCTACAGTATGGGAGAATATATTTGTAAATGACATATCCAACAAGGAGTTAACATCCAAAATATATAAAGAACTCACATACTTCAAAACCCAAAAAGCAAATAAGCCAATTAAAAAATCGGCAGAGGATATGAACAGACACTTCTGCAAAGAAATTCAGATGGCCAACAGGCACATGAAAAGATGCTCCACATCTCTAATCATCAGGGAAATGCAAATTAAAACCACAATTAGGTATAACCTCACACCAGTTAGGATGGCCAACATAGAAAAGACTAGGAATGACAAATGCCAGCAAGGATGCAGAGAA